CCTCAAAACATCTTTGAAAAAGTGCCTTAGTATAGAGCTTCTTACCTGCTGATCCATGGGCTGTATTAGAGGAGTCGTGTTAGGAGGCAGGAACTTCACTGTGATAAAATCTAACTCCTCCATCAACTCGTCTGCCAAGCCAGGAGGGTGAGCAGGTGCATTATCCATCACAAGAAGGCACTTCAGTGGCAAATTGTTTTCTTGCAAGTATTTCTCCACACTTGGGGCACAGACTTCATGAATCCACTCAATAAAACATTGCCTAGTTACCCAAGCCTTACTATTAGCCCTCCACATAACTGGCAATTTACTTTTTATCACATAGTTTTTCTTAAACACCCTCGGATTCTCCGAGTGGTACACGAGTAATGGCTTGATCTTGAAGTCCCCACTTGCATTTCCACATAGCAAAAGAGTCAGTCTGTCCTTCATTGGTTTGTGTCCCAGTAATGCTTTCTCCTCTTGGGTGATGTATGTCCTCCTTGGCATTTTTTCCAGAACAGACCGGTTTCGTCACAGTTAAACACTTGCTGGGGAATGAATCCATTAGCCTTTACATAGTCACTAAAATCTTGCACAAATTCCTCAGCAGCTTTTTGGTTCACACTCACTTCTTCAATCGTCTGTGATCTTTGTTTAGTAATAACTGTCATTCCTCTTGCAACATCGGCTTTCTTGATTGTCTCTCTATTTTTAAGAATAGTACAGATCGTTGATTTTGCCATCCCAAACTGAGTAGCAAGATCAGAGACACGAACACCATTTTCATGTTTGGCTATGATTTCTTTCTTAACATCTATCATGATATTGGTATTTTTTCTTTTCACTTTGCTGCTATCATTGTCTTTCTTTGGCCCCATGCTGGATCATTCTTCTACGAATACTGCCGATGCTGATACTCCCAGCTTATCGCTCCACGATGTTGACGGCTTGCGTGTTCGTAACTCAAGACACAGTACGTCATCCGAGAAGCTTTGTGTTCGTAAACTGAATTGTTCATGATCCGAGGCGTTCATGAACTGAGGTTTGACTGTACTGCAGTTTTGCCTTAGATTGTGCCATTAGGAAAGTTCATGAAAGTCAGGGTAGTTTGGAAGTGAATGGGACACATCAACTTTTGGTCTATTCTGTTTATATCAATCTGTTGAGTGATAATATAAATTCTATTAAAGTGAACACACAAACACTCTTAAGGGCTTTGAGGGATGTTGGTCCAGAAATAAATGAAGAGAAGACGAAGTATATGATCATGTCTCGGCATCAGAATTCAGGACAGAATCAGAATGTAATTAGTCAAAAATGTGACAATTGAAGTACTTGGAGACGACATTAACAAGTCAGATTGACATTCATGATGAAATCAAGAGAATATTAAATTCGGTGAATGCTGTTTATCATTCAGTTCAAAATCTTTTGTCCTCCCATTTTGTATCAAAAAATCTAAAGTTTAAAAGTGTAATTTTTCCAGTTGTTCTGTATGGGTGCAAAACTTGGTCTCTGACTTTGAGGAAGGAACATAGATTTAAGGTCTTAGAGAACAGTGTTGAGGAGAAGGAGGAGGATATTTGGACCTAAAAGGGAAGATGGATAAGGGAGAAAATTATATAATGATAAACTTCACAGCCTGTACTTCTCACCTGACATTGTTAAGGTGATTAAGTCGAGGAGAATGAGGAGGGTGGGACATGCGGCACGCATGGGGGAGGGGAGGGGTGTTTACAAGATACTGGTTGGGAGGCCTGAAGGAAGGAGACCACTGGGAAGACCTAGGCATGGATGGGAGGAAAACATTAATATGGTCCTTAGGGAGATAGGAATTGATGGAGCAAACTGGATGCAGCTAGCTCAGGATAGAGTCTGGTGCCAGGCTTTTGTGAACACGCTTATGACCCTTCTGGTTCCATAAAGAAAGTGGGCTATTCTTCGACAAGTCGGGTATACAATTTACTTTTGAAACAATTTCCTGCACCATAGAGTGAGTGAGTGTGTGAGTAAGGTGGATAAATGACTCTGCAATAGGGTTACAGTAATTTTTCTTTGTATTGAGTACCCTTTTTGTGCACTGCATGATTACAAAAGCAAAACAATTTACTGTATGAAGTATCTTGTAAAGGGATGCAGCTTTATATTACATAGTGATTTTAGTCAGATCAGACTGCTTGGAAATTGTAATCCTTGCGTTATTAATAGTTCAAATAACTTCATTCTTCTCGGTGGCTAAATATAGTTACACTACTATTTTTCATTTTAGGAATGCATTCCTTGGTGTGATATTGAATGAGAAGACATGCAAAGGGGTATTGTTGGATGGAATTTTGTACTGTTTAGTGGCACATTGTTACACAGTACAATTTTTTTTTTCTCTTCACAGCTCTGACTGGGTGGCCAAGATTCCTAATTATTTTAAGATATATCACCACAGAAAGTTTTAAGAAATTATTCTAAGAGTTCCTGAAGTTTGCACAGCCACCATATATGTTTTATTGGTATTTCAGGGTTTCAATTCTTCCTCTGCTATGGTGAAGGACCCTTCATCTGATTCCAACTTCATGACTGGTTCGCCTCTGTCTCTTTATTCATCTAGCTCAGTTCCACAAGGTTCAGGCCCCCATCAGCCAGCTCAAGGTATGACTAACACCAGTATAATTTTAAAACAATTATGAGATCTGACTCATAAGTTTCCAGAAGTATTACATTCCTTCAGAGTTGTCTTTAATATTTCTACCAGCAGTGTTGTCATAACAGAAATTAGTTTTCCTTTGACACTTTGAGTATTGCTATAGTATTGTGTTTGATGTTGTTAAGCTTCTTAAACATTCCTTTAGTCTGGGGTATAGGTGGAGGTAAGGAGAATGCAATGGTTGAACAGCAATGTGATGTGATGTGATGTGTTGTGGAACTCTGCTGAGAGGGCTCTGTTCACAGGTACATTGGAATCCACCTAAAGGTGTGGCCTCACCATTTTTACAGGTAGCAACAGTTCTGTCATCCATATTTTAATAATGTTATTTCTTCTCTGTATTCTTCTGACCTCTTAACCATTCAGATGTGTGTTTTTTTACATTTCCTCATTGCCTTAGGATACTTTCAACATCTGACATGATTTTGCACAGTATTTTGGAGATCAGTTGTTTGTTTTAAAAACTTGATGCCTGTGTTTATGATGAACTCACAGCCGTGATTTAGCAAATGCCACAACAGAATAAAACAAACTTCATATTCACTACAGCCTCTTTTAGTTTAGCTTACATTAAGTCAGAAATGCAATTTTTTGTACATAGTTAAATTTGTTTATTGAAACACTAATTTATGTGTTTTCACTGTGATTTACAATTTCCAGTAGCTGAATGCTCCAAATGTTTAGCATATTTGTTATGATATTGTTAGAGAGGCTTATTTTCACTGTTACTATCAGATATCAAAGATAAAGGGAAGGTTTACAAATTTGTCTGTTTTGAGGAGCATTTTAAATTGATTGTATAATTTGTGGTAGAGTCCTGCTGTTCACCCTCTTGGACATTGTCAGTCAGCAGTTTGGGCTGAGTTGGGTTGAGATTCATTTTTTGTTTATTGGCAGCTGTGAAATTTTGAATATTTGTTAATGGAAATGAAATTTTACTTTATCTGTAATTTTTACTTTTAATTTTGTACCAGACTGAAAGAAAATTGTTTTTGCAGTTGTGTAAATATTTTGTCATTCTTTGTGCAGATTGTTTTCCTGTTCAGAATTTAGGTTTTTCCCACAGGTCCTATACTGTATGGACAGGGTTTACCAAATGACCAGCAGATGTACAACTATGTTCAGATGTTGAGTACTACCAGCAAACTGAGTCTGAGCTCAAGTTCTAGTTCAGAGGCACTTAATAATGTGAGTGGTTACTCTGCTCCAAATCAGTCACAAGTTTCAGCTCTTGACAGAATCAATCCTGTCCTACCCAAGAAAGATTCCAATAAGGTGAGTCAAATTAAAATAACCACATATTAAAGGTTATATGGGCATGCTGTCCAGGAGGTTCATCTCCATTGTCTCGAAATAAATTTAGCATATCTGATGTTGAAGCATGTGGACAGACAAATGAATATGCACAATCAGTCGTATATGCAGTCATTTTGTGAACATCATACAAGTCTTATTCAGAAAAGCACATAATTGGATATATAAATACATTTGGACTTGCGATTCTGTGATATATAATTACATGATCACTTTCGTGAATAATAGAAGACATGCAAGTGTAATTGATATTGTGGTATCTAATCTTATAGATTATAACATTGAGAGAAACATTTTATGTTATATAATAATCAGATTAATATGATGTTTACAATAAAAAATAGTATAAACATATACTCCAGTGGAATACTCTTACTCCACATAAAATATATTCTGGATTCTTGCTTTCAAGATCTGTGTTCTGCTGTGGTCTTCATATTCATTTGCTCCAGATAAATTTTTAATTTCCTGTATTTTATCCATTTTGTACTTTGTTCATGTAGTAGAAATAAAGGCTAAAGAGAGAAACATACAAGTCTCATTGTAAAGGTGGTTGTTAATTACTTTTCTTGGATTTTATTAAATATACACCATTTCAAAAACTTTACAACTGAGCATTAAAGGTTGCAGTTGTTAATGAGGTCTATATTTTATACCTTTCCAATTTTTTTGTTACATTTTTAAAGACTTTTATAAAATTAGTTTTCAAGTGTATTTCATGGGGTATATTGGACCAGTTTTAAAAAAATTGGAATAAATCCCCAATACTAGATTGCATCAAAATTTATTCTTTAGTTTTGGTGATGAAACATGGACAGACAGATCTTCCAATTATTCTGTCGTATTGTTAACATCATGCAGAGGTCATATGACTAAATTATGTAGAAGTCAATCAGCTGCAACACAGTTGCACTGTCTTCTGCGCAGGAAACATGGCTAGTGGCACAGCTACTAATGTGCCTTCTCTTGGTTATCTTTTCACTTGCTTTTTACATTACTTCTGTTTGTCTAGTGATATCATGAAATTTTCTCTTTTACTAGATGTTTTCTATCACATGTGGTTATGAAGTGATGTTACTTTGAAACCCTGCCATTGCATTTTAGACACATTTTATGTATGATATATAAATAGATGAGAGTACTACATATAGTTTTGTAATTAATCTTGAATTTCAGTCTTGCCCATTCCCTGCAAGTCTTCTGCAGTTGGCCAATGGTTATGTGGGGATGACAAGGCATGACGTATCTCAGACTAGTAGCAGCACAATGTGTGATGCAAGTCTGAACAGCCTTGACCATCAGCTTTGCCTCTTGAAGATAAATGGAACAGCACAAAAAATTAACCTGCCATGTGTGTCAAGCAGCAAGGAATCCTGTTCAAATATAGTGCCAGCCTCATGTTCAGGTCCTGGTTCATGTTCTAATTCCCAGCAGTCGCCTCCAGTCTACTCTCCCATTGGCTTTCCTCGAAACATCAGCAACCGATCTTCAAACCACAGCCAACAGGTACAGTAATTATATTTCAGAATTTTTATTAGTATTTCTAGGTACGAGGCGCGTCCCAAAAGTAAGTTTCCCTGGGGCCGTTTACAGAAACAAAACACAATTTCATGGAAATATTTATTGCAACAGATACAGCAAGTGTCCAGCTATTTTTCAACATATTCGCCACCGGAATTGAGACATTGGTCATACCGTGGGACCAACTTTTGAATACCTGGGTCGTAGAAGTCTGCCGCCTGGGATTGGAACCACTGTGTGACAACCATCTCCGCCTCTCTGTCATTCTCAAAACGCTGACGCTGACCGGACAGGAATTTCTTGAGGGGTAGGAAAAGATGGAAATCACTGGGAGCGAGATCCGGGCTGTAGGGTGAATGATTAAACACCTCCCAGCTAAACTCCTGCAGGAGACTTGCTGTCCGTCGAGCCGGGTGCGGCCTAGCGTTATCACTGACCGCACTTCACAGGCGGCGGGAGCTGGAATAAGAACCTCCATCTTCAACAGCTGCAACGATGCTACTGTAAGAACGCGGGAAGTACCGTTAGTGCATGCGCCATGCTACGTCATTGCTCTATCACGTACGCACAGCCGCTTCGCGCAATATAAGGTTTGCTAGCTGTGAGACGAGTGGGAAACTTACTTTGTGGACGCGCCTCGTAAGTTGTCCAGACACATGTAGTTGTGGTTGGCACTGTGAAATAAGAAGGAATGAGACAGTGAAAGAATAATATTGGGCTCTCGCTGTATCATGGAAGAACAGTTTGTTAAAATGCGAGCTAGACCCCAGGTATTCAAAAGTTGGTCCCACGGTATGACCAATGTCTCAATTCTGGTGGCGAATATGTTGAAAAATAGCTGGACACTTGCTGTATCTGTTGCAATAAATATTTCCATGAAATTGTGTTTTGTTTCTGTAAACGGCCCCAGGGAAACTTACTTTTGGGACGCGCCTCGTATTTTATAATTGCTGAAAGTTTTTTCTGTTAAAATACTTGAAATTGAAACCATAATATATAGCAGGTCATTTATTACGTACTCTTTTTGTAGTTACCCGAATTGATGTTCTGATAGTTGGTTACTTATTTTATAAAACAAGATTACACTGTGTTATTGGCATCCCATCATGCCCTTCAAGCTCCCCTCCCTTTATCCTTTCATTCTGGAATGACATGAAGGAACTGTTAATAAGATTATTAAATACCCAAAATTTTAAGAAATTATGTACCAAACAGAAGAAGTCGGGGAAGACCTCTGAAGAGGCTTTTGGAAAAGTGAAACCAGAACAGGCCAACAAATGGCCTAACTCCTTGAAAGCTACATGATGATGATGATGAAATACAGAAGCAAGATCTTTAGGAGATTATGGGTTTAAGAACTTGGGGCATCCAGTTTAATGTCATACCATCTTCATTATGTTTTCTGTCACACATGGTGAATAAATATAAGACAGTATTGAGAACAGGACATTCTTTACTGTACATTAAGAAACATACAAATATTACATTAACAAAAGTTGATTCTGATTTATGCTGGTTTGCTTTTACAGAGTTCTTTAAGCTAGGTTTCATATTCTTGAGTTAAAAAGTGAGTGATGTAAAGCTGTTATTATGGATCAGATTATTATATTAAATAATTATGTAATTAGTCATATTAGCTATAGTTTAATTATACATGTCTTGTGATCCTTATGATGAAAATCTTGATGTATCTGTTGTAGCTTATAAATATATTTTAACTCTGGTAACACATGTGTAAATAGCATTCTCCTTTGGAGAAACAGTGATCTGTGAAAATAATTGACACAGTTTATTACTTATAAAAGGATATTTCTTTATTTCAGTCCTTTGCTTCTGGTCTGAGCAAAAGAGAATCTGGAAATTTTGGTTATGGCAGTGGAATAAGATTTGGAGGACCATGTGGTATGGATAGAAGTGGAGGGAGTACTTACTCTCAGAACCATAACAACAATAACAATAACAACGAATTGGGGGGAAAGACTTTACAGGGCTTGACTGGAGTTCCTCAGCTGAATCAACTTTCCAGTGGTAATAGTGGATCAGTTTTCAGCAGCACAAACTTCATTTCTGGTAGTCCACCAACATTTGAACCTAACTCTAGCTTCCTGCCAGCAGATCTTCGTCCAAGCCTTCCTATGTCATATGGTCCCCCTGGTACCAATTCTCTGCCTCCATTACACCATTTGATTCCTCCACCACCTTTGGATGGTTCTCCCTATCCTACAGAATTGTATGCAGAGTTGATGACGAACAGAGCAGGCCTAGGATATCTACCACCAGGTCCTCCATCATCATCGCCATCATCATCCGATATGATGCCATTTTACGATGTTTCAGGAATATTTCATTTCTCACCACACATGTATGGCTTCAGGTCTGTTCGGTAAGTAACAAGACAGTAAAATTTATTTAATAGTTAAAGGAAAATGTTTTAAGATGATGAATGCTGTTTCTTAATATATCTTACTGTTTACTGAGGTTGGTAGGAATAACAAAACTTTCCATATAAGATATTTTTCAGATAATTGAAAATTAGAGTTCAAATTAGGTTTACATCAGACATTATATAATGTTAAATAAACTTGCCTGAAAGATCCAGTTTCATTTCTGAAGGTAGAAATCCACATTTTGCATGGAAGCATTTGTAAACCCAGATTTCCATTTTATACTCAATGATAGGGTAATAATGATGACAGCTGGTGAATGGAACTTGTAACTCAGTGTGAGATCTGAGTAATTTTGGGGTTCTGGTTGTGTTATATGTGACATACACAAAGTTTTAACATTAATTTGTCTTATTTGTGATGGTTATGATATTGGAAGTTAAGTATGGATAGAAGTAATAGGTAGAAGGCTCAACAATGAGAAATTTAATTAAGTTTACTTTCATGGTGAGGAATACAAGTAACTGTTACTGTTACTTCCATTATGGATAGAGGCAGGTGGATGAATTCTTTTGTTCTTATTTATTTCTTTTTGTATTTATAGAAACAAACCTTTTTTCCCCCCACCTTTGAAATATCTGTCAAATTGATGTATAATAAAATTGGTGCAGGCGCAGTGGACCATCCAGTGAACTTCACTTACGCCTTGAAGAGTGTTATGATCAGTTCAAGAATCTTGAGAAGGAACGCAAAAAGACAGAGGCTGAGCTTGCCAGGCACAATCCAGGGAAGAAAGTTTCATCTGCTAATAACATTCCTGTACCTAGACTCCCACCCAATCCATCACGTGTTGATCGCCTCATTGTGGACCAATTGCGTGAACATGCCAGGGTAAGTACTTCACATATGAGATACTGGTATATAAACATTTAATGTGATGGAAAATTTAGAGGACCTGTATTTTAAAGCATACTTTATATCCATAATTCAGTTATTTCTTATTGATTTGTAGAGCAACTGCTTCTCTTTTGTAATGAACTAGAACTTGCCTAAGAAAGTGACATCTGCTTTGTATTGTTGTTGTAACAAGTTATTGCTGCATTAAAAATTCTAAAACAGTACACATTAAACTTTATTTTTCTGATTATTTCCATCAACAACTTCAGTTTCATTTGTCCATAACTCCTTCAGTGTTGTGAACAGATAGAATGATTACTTTGTGTTTTCAACTTTTAATGACCTCCCCTGAAAGTAGGTGAAGTATTGACTTTATGTCATGGGACTCCTTGTGTGTGTGTGCATTTGTGTGTACTCCACACACACATGTGCAGACACATACATGCACAATTTATAAAAGGAAGTATTCATTCCTGAAACATTTCTTATTCTCACAAAAAATTGTAGTGTAATAATTTATTATAAATGTAACTATGGCACTCGTATTATAAGAAACGTTATTGCCAAAGTTCTTTGTATGGAGTAGCACAACAAAAAATTATGCATACTGTTGTAAGGGTTCCTGTTAGTACATAGCTAAACCTAAGTGCAACTAAATTTCAAAAACTTTATCATGTAGAGTTTCTGCTTTTATTTTATTATAACTTGAGAGAAATCCAGGATACTCTCTCCTTATTGACAGGTGATCACACTGATTGCCAAAATGGAGCGACTCCGTGGTGAAGCTGTCAATCCACAGATTCATATGTCCATGGAGGCATGGCTTGATTCCATAAAAAAAGTGCAGGCTCGGCGTCGTGATGAAATTATCAATTCAACCAACCGACATCATAGTATTGTGGCTGGGATTCAGACTCCTCGTATTCAAGAGGACAAAGGTGGGTAGTTTACTTGTGTGCTTTACATATTTGCCTGCACCTAGGTTATATACTTCCTGATTATCATACGTGTCCCCAAATTAAACCAAACAATATAATTTTAAATTTGATCTCATCATTATGTCATCTCACACTTTTAGAACTCACTGGGCATGTAAAAACATGTGATTTCTCTTGGCTAGCTCTCAGATCTCTCATCAAGTAGGTAGGCCTATAGTTGAGCTAAACAGTACAGTCTCAGGATTTCCTATTCATCAGTTTCAATCTGTTAAATGATTTTATTCACTATATCATCCTCAGAGAACACAGACCATTTAATTTCAGTTGCAGTTGAAGTGCTTACATTTTGTAAGAGTTATCTGAATGAAAATATATGGCAAGCTGTGATCTAATAGTATAATATAGTTATGTTTTAATGCAGATATACTGGCCCTAGCAGCTAGTATTCAAGAACTAAGTGCAGGATCTCGTAAAGCGCGAACAGGCATGTGGTGTGCCCTAGTTGTGACACTGCTGATGCAAGAACAAGAACCAGAGAACAAGGAGTCAAGGGCCACAGGAATAGCAGATGAAGTTGTCAAGGTGGAAGGTACCTCTGCTGTATCTTCTACAGCAAATGCTGTTCCAGCTGGTAGTTCTGCTACTGTTACTACTTCTGATTCCACCACTAACACACTCATCACCACAACTGCTTCTGCTGCTGCTATTGGGAAGTAAATGAACTATAAGACAGAGGCTAGAATCTTATGAAGCTAGCTCAGATGCATTTGTTTAGAAGCATTGACATTATTCTTTACCACTTTTTACCTAAGTTATTTAACTGTTTATTAACTTATATCAGTACATACTTGCTAGTTTTTAGTAGAGAATTCCTATAAGAAATGGAATAGGTTCCCCCATAGAGTTAATAGTCTGATGTTTTACTGTGGATGTTACAAAAGGGAAGCATTCTATGCAGTAAAGTTTGTTAATGATTATTTGATCATCTTGTTGCTGTAGATGTGAAAGAGATATGAGCAATATGGTTTGAGTTGAGGCTCTGTTGGTGCAGAATGCTATGTTCTTGCTACCTGTACTGATTTTAATTTTAAATACTCTTGATGTTATTGAAGATATTCTGATGATAATTAATGTTTCAGTGATGCTAGATAGATGTATGTATTTATCGAGTGTAGACTAGAGAGCATGGCTGCAGAGTCCACTTGCTAACATATGAACTGCCTAAGGAAAGGGGCTAGAATTTTGTTACTAGTTTTCGTATGATGCAAGGTTTTAGTACATACACAAGTGTGAATAAGATATTTCTCTTCTTTCTTAAAGAATGATTTCCTGTGCCTCAGTATTCAATGACTAGTCATGCTCATTGTTTCAAAGACCAGGTTTTGAAAAGACCTACATTCATAAATGAAGTTTGAGTCAAGCTTATATGTTGTATGTAAGATATGGTCTTGTCAAAGGAAGGGTCAATTGCAATGGAAACATATTGCCTTTTGATTGCCAAAGTTTTGCCAGGTTTTCCGGCTTACTTGTCCTTTCAAATGCTCTCTTCAAGTTACAGTGTTTTGTATTAATAAGATGCATTCTGCTAGCTTGATGTGTTTAGCGTTCCTTAGAATTTTCGAGTTTTTTACACAATTTCACACAATTTGGAAACATTACTTGTACTACAAAATTCTGTACAAACATGTATTTGTATGTGATGATGCCATTCAAAACTTGTATCATTGCACTTTTGTCATCACTACCTTCTGCAGTGAATCTTTTCTAAGACTGATTGACTGTAGTTATTGTCTTAATTCTTCTTTGTTGCAAAACAAAATTTTTATTATTAAGGTAACAGTGGAAGACAGAGGAATGTTCTCATATTTATTCATTATATTAATGTTTTCTTCAACTTGTTTTAAAATATTTGCATCAAAGTTAGTAACTGTTGAAGGGCCACTGATATATGTGTACCATGAATGTATTTTTGGGTGCACTTTGTAAGTTGTAACTTAATCATTCTGGTTGTATGCTCAAACGTGTTTGTCTTGTCAATGCCTCCCTTCGTAAATAAGCTTCATCAGTTTCATTGGATGGTGCATTGTGTAGAAAAAATTATGTTCCCTTCATATTTGACTGTATTAGGATGTATCGTACCTCAATATTATTATTTAAACAAATAACTGAAAATAACTGCACTTGCAAATATCTGTAATTTATGTTGGAAGGAAAAGGAAGTTTTGTGTCTCCTCACCTTTCCATTGGTTTGGTGCTTTCTCTCTGGCATTGCTGACATTCTAAACTGTGATATATATATATTTATCAAGCCAATACTTATGTAGGATTGGAATAGCAGATCTTTAGTCTCCTTCTTACACAAGCGGAATTAAATCTTATGAGTGTTTAGGTAATTCAGTGCTAGTTGTCAAAACTATAGAGGACAATCCTACTGTAATGCATGTGATATCAACTATAATGACTCGAAGAGACCAAACTTCTCAAAGGAACATAGTTTAACTGAAGATACTTTTTTTATATAGAGAACTGCATGATGAGTCTGCTTGTATAACTCAAAAATATCTTTTAAAAACCTATTTCAAATCTTCAGTGTGAAATGATGATAACCAGTGTTTTATACTTGTAAGTGTGACGCTCCATGACAGCATAGCTGTAAAGTTATTGCACCATATCATTACTGTATTGAAGTTAAAGTGTTAGAAAATTTAGCTTTGCAACTTGTTGTTAGATATTATATGGTTACACCATTGTAAGTACATGATTCTAAATGGAGGTCAGTTGAGAAGTAGCAGCACAAAAACTGATTCCAGTATTGAAATTGTTTTGTGGATTATGTCATGTATAGTGACCATAACAGATATAATTGTTAATACTACATTATGATACTAAAGTGTAAGAACCTTTGGCCATGGAAAGGACTCATATTTATTATGTAGTATTAAAGTAAGGTTTTATAAGTGCTTCCAGTTTGGAGATTTCTTGAACTTTCTTGCCACACAGTTATTGGCAGGCAGGTACACATTATTTTTAGGTTCAAAGAACATTAGTTGTGTTGTTTTTGGTATTTATCTTGAATCTCTTGGTTTATCAGTGAGTTTTACTGGTTCTTTTATTACTGCCCTACTTTTCATTGCTTCCTATACTGGTAAAGGTGATTTGTTAAGGAGATCACATTTTTACTTGTACATTTTAATATGTGATATTGGGAACAATGGTAACGTAAATTCTCTCATGTGCAGCCGTGGTAATTTGCTGGTGCTTGTATGTGTGAGATTGCCTGTACCATTAGTACTCAGGGACTAGATCTTTCCCACCAGATTGAAACTTCTGAGAATTTACAGTTTCTTAATGAATTTGTGTTTATGTCGTAACTAGATGCTCATTAACATACTTGTAAATAATTGCCTGTATTCATAAAGTGATTATAAGTTTTGTAAAATGGGTATCTGTTTATTATTTTTTCTGGACTTAATTTTTTTCCATGACCAAAGGTTCTCATTCAGAATTCATCTTGGTCCCTTTCTAAACTATTTTTAAATGAGCTGATGTATATTTAAAATTATTCAATTAGACTACTAATATTATGAAATATTTTCTGTCACTGAAATAATTTTCTCAAGGAGGTTATATGCTAAATTTATAATGCTTCCAGCCCAGTTTTGAAAACTAGATGGTTTTTAATTCAGATTTTAATGAAATGGAATTTTGTGATCATTCCTGGGTAGTCAGTAATTGTCCATGTCCAAAGTAGATACGGTGTTCTGCATGAAGTGCTACTGTTTGCAATAACACTGCACATAACGTTACATAGCACACAATGTGTAATATTGCATGATAGTGAAAGAAGGGTTCAGCATCACTTACCTATATATAGTTACTAGGTAGCTACAGCAATAGTTGTTTTATAGTTCACTTAAGTTATTAAGGCAAAGCCTAGATTTTATTTAGTTTCATGTAGTAATTAACTGGAATTTCTGTATTTCTGGGACTGTCAGTATACATTTTTAATATTGACACCTTATATGTGTATAACTGCAGTTACTTATTTTTCCATTGTTTATTACAGTTACCAGTGTATTATTATGTTTTGAACTTTAATATTGGTGCAGTATGAACTGGCTGGGGCAGTATAACATATTATGTATTTGCAATGACTTAATGGTTGTGATACATTATTGAGAAAGGGTTGGTTTTTTGTCCTGGATGTTACTTTTTAGCCAAGGTACTCCAATGTTTATTTGGGGCTTGCTGAATGTTTTGGTAGATTTCCTATTCTTGTAAAAACTGCCATTAGGCTAAGTCGTTGTGCCTCTATTCTCCTAGACACACATGCAATGTGTTCTGTTGAAATTCATTCATGTCATTGTGCAATTGTATGTGTTGGGTATTCAATATTATTGATACGCTTGTCCAGATCCTTTAAAATATTCATCCTCTTGGGTCTTGGATAACACCGAATAGGACCTCAGTGTAATAACATTACATATTCCCATTTGCACTCGCACAATCTCATAACTTATATGATTATATATGAAATACTAATTAAATGGGCTGTGGTAGATTTAATATATTCATTGTGGGTGATATAATAATAACACTGTATTTCTAGACGAATAATGAATTATTCACAGATATTGATCAAAAATATTTTAGTGTAGTGAAGAAACCTAGCTTAGTGCCATGACAATTTTGGGGCAGGTCAGGACCATATTAGTATGAGGTGCTCATTGTTTTGTGCTGGAAATGCATAGCAGTAGAATTTTGTCTTGGCTAGACATCTAATATTCGAATGGATGTTTCTGTCTTTGCGTAATTGTAATTGATGTAGGTTTACAGTATTTGCTATTGGTCACTTACAACATTCTTAGTGCATTAAGAATGAGTAATTTTCATAGGAAATATATATTGTATGCATACAAACATTAATAATGATTTGCAATAACATTTATCTGGCTATGTGATCTGACACCATTAGTTTCGCCATATTTTGTGCATAAAAATGTATTGCTATGTTGGATTTTGTATTGTACACAAACAGGCATATACCATAACCTCAACTTGATAGTAAAACCAATAGCAGTATAGTACAGCAGATGAATTTTAGTACATTTGCATACTGTTGATCAATACTGCTGCAAAATTACTTTATTTAAATGACTACACTATATTTATTTATATATGTCTTATTTATTTAATATTTATTAACTAAATGAAAACCAGCATCCTGAACATATCAGGATTTGAAGAGCTTATATTAACTTGGAACTCCTTGCATTTCTGAAACAGTACTAAAATATTAATTAAACTATTGAGGTTTCCTCTCCATTTTAGTGCATATGTTAGAGTACAAAATGTGACTAGTTGAAACATATAAAAGTGATCTGGTTTCTGAGAAAGGAGTGAAAGCATTGTGTTGTAAGTTCATATTGAGCAGACTTTTTTTTAAATTCAAAAATGAAAAATATTTTGGTCTTCATTTAAAGGGGAAAGAGATAAGGCTTTTTGTCTGGATAGAGAGAAATAAAGTTTTTTCTTCAGTCAGGTCTGAAATTTGAAGCCGCAGGACAGTGACACAGGATTGTGTAAAAAAAAAGCTTTTTTATATTATGTTCAGGTAATTATCAAATTTATACAAGAAATTGCAGTCATGCTGATATAGTGGAAATAATTGTAATAATATTACGCTCTTTCACGTGTTTTCTCAGAATCCAACACATAGAATGATGCAGTGTTTCTCATTCTCCTGACAAAGTCATATCGAATCACTCCATTCTGGATTCTTATAACTGATATTTTGGTCATTAGACATTTTAGACTATAGATAATTTTATAACACCATTTCTTATGACATCTTTGAGTGAAGATGCTCTTAGCAAGTGGTACAACCTTCCTGCATCATATCAAAAAATACAGACCTTTAACTTCCCTTGCAATTTAGGTCTGAACCAGTGTTTTACAACCCATGCAAAGGAATGCCAGAATGTTTGTCTGAGCTTATTATTCTATCTGATGTAAAAAAGCATTTACTGTATTTCCATTATGTTCTTGGCCACTGGCACCATAACAAATTTGTCATTTATATATATAATAAAAGCATTTGTTTTAAAGATTGAGGCCCAAATTAATGGATGCTGTATTCTCAATGTGAATATCAGGTAAAGAACAAATTTGTGTTATCTTATTGTCCTTTTAAACATATCCTTGGTTCAGTTTTTCTACATTATAAGAGGTGTGATTATATTACTAAGTTTACCAGTATATTAGTTAACAGCTACATTGAGTGACATACGTTTCATAATGACTTTGGTCTTCTGATTATTCTTGAGAAGCATTGAATCACAATACAGTTACTGAAATTAGTACTAAATGATTTAATAAGAAGTTTTGATTGAAATAAGTAATTCAGAAATTTTATTGAGGGCATGTATTGTAATGTACGGGTATTTGGACCAGTCGTATGGGTGTTTTGTAAGAAAGTAAAAGGCATTGAGTGTCAGTACCTATCCAAACATTGGTTGCTAGTGGTCATGTATTGTGGAATTTATAAATGATATTCATGTTGTATTATTATGCAGACACAATAATGTTGGTTACCTTGTGTGTGAGTGAGAGAAAGTGACCATATGTTATTTTCTTTATTTCTATGTACACAGTACAGGATGTCATTTTATATTTGATATAGTATCACTGTATCTTAGTGGTACAAGTAATCATCCTTACAGTGTGTATTTGTAATATAAAAAGCCCCAAATACATGAGAAGAGACAAAGCATAGAAATTGTTTTCATTATATGCCTGTGTACTTTTGAATATTACAACTTCCTTGGTAAAGACTACTGTGAGGTAAATAATAAAAATTACTGAAGTACCCAGTTGGATTATAAAACACAAGATGTCAGAGGAACCAGTATTACATCCAGTGCTTCGAAAAAAGTCACTTCCATTCTTATACAACAAATTGACTGAAAGTGCCAGTATTTAATTTTTGTGTTGTTCAGAATATTACTGTTTAGTGCCAATGTGGGTAGAGCATTATTATTGGGTTGTGTTACTTCACATGCATTTGGAGCTTGTCTAAAAACTGTTAGCTTTTAGCCAATCACTATGGAAGCATCATTATGGAAATGTAGTTCCCGAGAGCAATGTCAAAGAAGTCAATAGAAACAAAAGAACAATATATTGTATTAATCCACTATTTTGTAGAAGCATTCCAGTGCTTTTTGCCTGTTTAATACTGTCTCAAACAAAACAAACGAAAACTTCGTTCTGTGTTTCTTTATTAAGTGTGTAAGTAGTTTTGTAGTGTCTGATTTGGCTGATATTTCCATACTTAATGTATTGTGTTACCAGTGTGAAAAATTATTAAGTTTGCCTGTGTTCTTGAATTCTGAGTTTCAGTGGAGATGATTTGTTTTGAAGAACTGCTCACTAACAAGGTCTATTTCTCATAGTCCAAAGTTTTGGGTTGCAGTGCAGGATCTTTATTCTAATGAAGTAAAAACTTATTTTTCTTGCAGTGTATCAGCTTTTCATATGGGAAAAGTTTTGGTGGTTAGATTCATATATATATTGCATTTAAAAATAATACAAATGATGTGTTATTTGGTTTAAGGTTCAAAATTAGGGTTTTGGATTAATGATAAATGATTAAACAAGTTATTTTTGATGTACTAGGTACTCATTTGAGGGATTATAAGATAATAGTATATGAATGCAAGGTTGAGAAGTGAAAAAAATTGGTAGGCAGGATTTTGCTTACATTTTGTGCAATGGTTTAAAGTGTCCTTTCTGTGTGAGAATATAAAAATAAAGATAAACCCAGTATTAAGTATTATAATTTTTCCCTTGGCAGTGTCATCAGAGATAGAGTATGCTTCAAGGCTGTTTGAAGAGTAGAGTAGCATAGCATTAGACAACTAACCCACATCTTAAGCTGCCTGGCTTGGAGGGGTAATAAGGGGCAATGAATGAGGATGCACTGTGATGAGCAATAATGGCACAAGGTGCTGACAAACAGCAAGATGAACTGCTGAAACTTGAAAATGCACAAAATCATGCTGAAGTGCCAAGGTACACTATGCCCTAATAAAATTAATTTGAAGCACCAGATTTGTTCTCAGATTCCTTTAGGCAGTCATCAACATAATTTGTGACGTGGAAGAACTGAAGTTGCCTCCTTAGTCTAAACTAACAAGGTGTAAGAGACAAGCAGTCAGATGGGTAGAACTCAAATCCCTTCAATCCATGTGGCAACAATTGTAACAAGGAGCAACTTAATCTTAAAAACGATGCCTAATCAACACTAATCGCAAGAGCTTGGTGTTGAATCAAGACATTTCACAAGAAAAATCCGTCGTTATTAACTTGTGAAAACGGAACTTACAAATTACATTTAAATATTAACTCCGCACTATTCCCATTACAAAGAACAGCCGGTTAATACTGTCGTACGTTGGTAAAACGCAGTTACTGATAATTGAAGCAACTGATACACTAACTACGTGGCGTTTAAGGGGCAAAATCTCATTCCTTTTAGGCATGCTGCTCTATAAAGTACAGAGTTTATGGTCAAATAACTAAAATGGCAATTCTGCGAAAGTGCGAGTCATGCTTTCGTCCATGGAGATCTATGTTCTGTGGTTATCATCTACGATTCGGATGGTTCTTATGCCTCCATCGGTTACAAAAATTGACAGTGGAACTACGGTTCCGGAGAATCTGACGTAAATACGTCTCCGTATTTAAATTATATTTAAGCAATAAATACAATGAAAGGAAGGTAGCTAAATGTAATGTCAAAATTATCTAGTCTACGTCGCACTTCTTCTAAAAGCGATTCACAGCTCAGCTCTTTCCGCAATAACGAAAGCGGATTGTTGACGGCAATAATGTAACACAACAATGCCTAGTAAACAGATGACGTTTCCTAGGTAACACAACAATGCGCACAAGCTGGTCATTGTTGTCGGTCCATATTTACACATTGTTGATATGTATCTTACACGTTTTCCTAGGTAACAACAATGCTCCCTAGGTAACCATTGTTGTCTATTTGTTGATACGGATCTTACACATTTTCGTTCCACTTTTTTGCCGAATGACCCTTCCGTATAGACGTATTTACGTCAAAACTTTGTGGATAAGATGAAGTGAATAAATTAGTTTTATAGCATCAAATGACTAATCTGTGATGATGGTGACGGAACATGACCACCCCGTAATGTTGGTATTATTTAATGTTCTCTGCCCAACGCCATCTGTCGATGTCATTGCAAAGTCTATTGCGAAAGGTTTTTACGCGTTCTGTTATATCTGGAAAATCTATTTGTTTTATTTATAGGTTGACAGCAGATACGACACCTCAACTCACAGTTTCTACGGGGATGTTTTATTTATCTTGTATAATAACGTGTTCTGTGAAGTGAAAATGCCACCTAAGCAAAGGAAAATTGCCATAATGGGCTATAGATCAGTGGGTGAGCTGTACATAACCTGGTCGTGTTTAGTACAATAAACTCCATTGTTTAGTAGCGTAAATTTCATTCATGCACGTTCAGCATAAATATCTAATTCTGGTGTTACAGGAAAGTCATCACTGAGCATTCAGTTCGTTGAAGGACAATTTGTGGACTCATATGATCCTACAATAGAAAATAGTGAGTATTGTTCCTTGTAGCTTGACCATTCCGAGCAAGTTGACTCAGCCATAATGCGCCGAACTTGTATTTCGGAGGTACTTTCTTCTACATTTGGCTTTTCCTTATTGTGCTGGCAAAGTGCCGTCAATTATGCGTCAACTCCTTCTTCCCACAGCTTTTCAATATTTCAACAAACATCGTTTCCTAGAATGTGTTAGAAAAATTTATACAAGAATGTAAAAGGTTTCTTAAACTTCAACAGTATCCTTACAGAAGAACAATTTGAATTTAGAAAAGTCTGTTAACAGACAGTCTTGTAGAATTCCATAGATGAAATTGTATATGCTGTTAATGATAAAATGTACGTTAGTGAAATATGTTGACCTTGCTAAACAATTTTATTGTGTGAATCATGATGTAATACTATAAAAACTAAATTTTTATGGAGTTGAAGATAAAGGTGTGGTTTAAATCAGGGTAGTCCTGGTGAAGAATAGTTTTCCCAGTGGACTCAACTCACTGACAAGTTTACTATTTTTGTTTCTTCTTCATAATTATTTATGACTCCTATGAGCAGGGAGAGAGGTTTGTGCTACATTGTTCATGAGGTGAAGGACTTGTTCTCCTTCAGTGAGCAGATAGTTCGCAGGTCACAGGAGTGATTTGTTCTTTTTGAACGACTCATTCATGAACTGCCCATCCCTAATAAACATGACCTCAACATGCAAAATGCTAATGGGTATTGGTTATATGAATCAGCATCAAGCAAACCAAAATATTGCAATAAAATTAATTTTTACAGCTACAGTACATAATTTGAATATTTTGCCCATTTAAATATCTCATCTTTGCAAGCAAACATACCTGCCCATAAACACCATATTGGCTTTTATTTAATACAGATATATTAGGCAGATGTTGTTAAAGGTATTATTCATGTGACTTTGTTTTGTATGAAACTTCTGTTGTAGGGGGCATGTATTATTTTTAAATTTCTTTATCTGACACTAATCTTCTTGTGTTTACTTGTAGCATTTACAAAGTCTACTCGAGTTAACAGTCAAGAATATGAATTGAAGCTTGTTGATACAGCTGGGCAAGATGAATATTCGATATTTCCAGCTCAGTACTCAATGGATATACATGGTTATGTCCTGGTCTATTCAATTACTTCATCAAAGTCATTTGAAGTTGTACAGATAATATATGACAAATTGCTTGACATGACAGGGAAGGTTCAGTAAGTAGGCATATATCTTTTGCTACTAGATATCATACAACATACATCTGAATATATTGAAGGGGTAGTGAATATACTATGATCAATGATGATTAACAATTTCTATTATGGTGCAAGTTTGAAATAATTACTGGTTTGTGGAATGATTTATAAATACCATTAAGGTGGCACCTTGAGGGAGGTATAGTGTGAGTTCATAAATGATCAACAAAGTAATAACCACATTGCTGGTATAAAGCATTTTTCATATTATAATGGAAACATGTTTCGGTAAAGAATAAAAGAAACAAATATTTTTGATAATATCAATACGTGGTAATTGCCAGTAATAAATATTATATTTGCCATTATGAAACAAAATATAACTTCTGGTATTATGCAGTGTTCACAGTGTGTAAAACTATGTGAGGTGCTATTCAGACTTAATTTGCTTCTTACAGCATACTGAAATTAAAAAAAATTGAGTTTTCTGACCCACCACATTTAAAGACTTCACTGTATTTACTACATCACTAAGTTTGTGCATAAAAGGCACATTTTGATGTTTTTGGGCAGCTTTTGGAGGAGGAATGTGTCACACCAGCAAGTACTAAGTTGCAGTAATTCACATCCCTTTTGTGAGAATGTCTGGTACAGGTCCATCATGTGTAAAATAATGTGTTTAAATCAGACAAGAATGGTGGAGAGGGAGAAATAATGAAGTGATAATTTGAGATTTAGGTCAAAGGTGTATAAAAATTGAGAAAAGCAAATTAGGGAAGAATTGGAATGGTTTAGGTGATGAATATAGGGAATGAGAATGGAATTATGGTTGAAAATAGAGGGATGATAGAACAGATGTATGAAAAATGTATCAGTGATGTCAAGGGAGTAGAAATTAAATATTACAGGAATAGCGTATTACAAATACTATGATGGGATAACATACATTGGACAATAGTAGAGGAACTAAAATATTTTAAATTCAATAAACACTGAAGTAATATTTGTTGAAAGTTCTATTTTATGAAACTGAGAACCCTTGATGCAATTAAATGTCAGTGTAACAAAATCAAAATCTTGGAATTACTGTGTATCTCCTGTACTGAACTTTTATAGCTATCAGTGCACATATCAAACTCATTTTAAGATAAATTCTATGGTGATGCACTGAAAATAAAGTTAGAAGTCATTTGTGTAGAAACCATAAAGAAGACCTTTTCCTGTTTTGTTCAGGTTAATCCCTAAACAGGAGTGTCTTTTGCTGACTGCTAGTTGAATCATTCCTGTCAAATGAATTAATCATCAGTCATTTCTTCATATGCTGAAAGTTTCCTTGGTTTAGGTTTTGGATCCAGTTTGTGAAAAAATGATAACCCTTTTGTCAGTGAAGGCCATTTAAATTTCAATTGGCAAAATTACAGAATCTCTCTCAAGTGGTCATGAATCATAATATTGTCCAGTTACTCTGATTACATTGCTTAACAGTGCACCATATATTTGATCTTACCTATTTCCTTCACTTGAAGATGAAGATTTAATTTTTTTCCTTTTTACATTTTATACAATTGTGGGGATCCTCTTATGATTCAACAGTATAACTGTAAAGGGTTGAAATGATGGTACATTGCACTCAGTATTATTGTTTTTCTGAACTTGATCCATCATTCATTAATCTAATAATGAAACTGCTACATTTCAGGAGCTGGCTCTGTTCAATCCAATCCTTGGCTTACCCGGTGTCCTACGTGAGCGATTAAATGCGAGCGGTGCGATTTGCGTGGGTGAAGCGGAAATATCAAACTGGCTGTTTGTATGGCACTGTCCTAGGTTACAGCGAATCAGTCAAGAGAGTAAAGCGGCAGGATTCCGAGATCAAATATTTTGATATTTTCGCGCAGGTCGCTGCGCTGGTCAGTAAGGCGCATGCGCAGATAAGCTCTGACTGTGCAGTACAGGGAAGGTGCATGCACAGAAAGACCGTGTGCTTCTATTGCAGTCTCTCACTGAGGACACAACAAGCGATTCCCTTATGTCATATGACACCCCATGCTGCTTATGAAGCTCGCACAGCTCGCTTCTTATCGCTCATGTAGGACATTGCCTTAGGGTTAGCTTCTTCTGTGGGACCCAAACAGAGTAGGTATTTTCACACAGAGGTGGGAGCAGAGCCAGCTCTTATATTGATTCTTTATCGCGACTCTTAAGATCTTATATAAGGTGCATTATGTTTCTTGCTACTATTAAACAAGTAATTAAAGAATAAAACTGGATTTTCTTACATGCCTGGTTTGTATAAGATTGTTTTGCAGTTCAGTAACTTGTAATAATTGGTTTTGTTATTGTCATCCAGGTCTGTGTTCAGTTTTTATATTCTTTCATTGTGATGTAGTGAAGTGTGTAAAATATACAACATTTTGCAGTGTACCAATTGTTCTGGTGGGCAACAAAACAGATCTCCATATGGAACGGATGATCAGCAGTGAGGAAGGAAAGCGATTAGCAGACTCCTGGAAAGCAGCTTTTCTTGAGACATCTGCTAAACAGAATGAGGTATGGTTGAAAGATTTTTCTTCACTTTCAGATTGCTTGACTAACATTCTAAAGTTCTTCTGTATTCATGTGTACAGAATTTTAGAATTGTTGGCTTGTATTGCCAGTTCCATACATTCATTTTAAAGCTGTTTCAAAGTTTTTGTAAGAAAATTAATTTTTAAAATTGTGTGGAGTTTCATTTACAAAGAAATTAACAGCATCCTAAAATCAGGAAATGTTTTGTACTCTGCAGCTCAGAATTTTTGTCTTTCTGTCTGCTATCTAAAAATATGAAAATTGAAGTATACAAGACTATAATTTTACCGGTTTCTATGTATGGATGTGAAACTTTGTCTGTCACATTGAGAGGAAGAATACAGAATGAATGTGTTTGAGAACAGAGTGCTTAGGAGAATATTTGAACCTAAGAGAGGTGATGAGGAGCTCCATAATTTGTACTGTTTACCAGATACTGTTAGGATGAACAAATCAAGGTTGATGAGAAGTTTGAGAACAGGGAATCAGCAACAAAATTAGCCATAGATTGAGGAATGTGGGTACAAACCATACATGACATAAAGAACAACAAAATGCATGTAGTGGAATTTGTAAGGGACTGTAATTGTAGCGCTGGACCTTCCAGATTCAAGTGTATGAAAAATTCCATGTGTAAAGAGGTTGGTGTTGCTCTGTAGAGGTTCAGCCAGAATTGAGCAGAAGGAACATTGGTTTTTGTGTAAAGAAATTAAATTTTTCATGAAGCTTTGCTATTGGAAGGGGAGTACAGTTTTCCCATTGGATGGCTGACTGGATTCAGGCAATGATATGGTATTCATGAGACTGTGTGCCGATGATGCTGCAACTGATGTGTAAATAAAGTAAAGTAAACTATATGCCATGTAGGCATTTTGGGATGAGTGGAGGTATAGCTCCTCTCTTCCTTGACCCCGGCACTAGATGGGGATGAGTGGTCAGCATCACGCCCCGGCCGGCTTTACCCCCGGGGAAAGGACCCCGGTACCCATTGGAGAGGAGGCTGGGTGGGCCTCAGAGCCGGTCTGGACGCAGAGGCTAGAGGAAAAATCCTCTGCCCCCGTCGGGGATCGAACCCCGGTCATCCAGCCCGTAGCTAGTCACTATACTGACTGAGATATCCCAGCCCATCAACTGATGTGTTCCACATTGAATTTCAGAATGCTTACAACTGGATTAAATATATAACACCAATAAGTCTGAGTTTTTTGTTTGGAAAGGCTTACTACAAGTGAAAAAGAGGAGTGTGCTCTCAGGCTTAAATCTTCTAGAGAACACTTTACTGATGTGTATTGTCACAATGAAACAGTAGATATTACAGAAAACATAATGTTGGGGTAATTGAATGATGTCTAAAAAAGGCAAAGAATAGGAAAAGCTGAGGCTTGGATGGTTTAAATATAGAACTTCAAATATGGAGGACAGTTGCTAAAGGAGAAATTACTTGAACTTTTTAATAACATATGGCAGTATCTTCAAATACCAAAGGACTGGGAAACAGGTTTGGTTATCAATATACACAAAAATGGACCTGAAAGTAAATGTGATCATTATAGAGGTATCACATTACTATCAACTGCTTCCAAATTGTATGCAAACATACTTAGAAATAAATTGAATTTGGTCATTGACACATTTTTAGGGGAAGAATAATATGGTTCTAGGAAAGGAAGAAGCTCTATGGATGCCATATTTACACTTCAACAAATTATTGAAAAAAGAAGAGAATTTAACCTTCCAACATTTATATTATTCATTGACTATGAGAAAGCCTATGCCAATTGAAATCTGGAGAAACTATGGCAGATTTTAAATGAAGAAAATGTACAGTCACAATTAATCAGAGCAATATGAAGCTGAAATCAAAATTCAAAAATTTATATTAATTATTTAAATGGACAAACCTCAGAACCCATAATTACCAATAACTGGGTAAGACAAGGATGTGGACTTTCTCCGTCTTTATTTAATATATATATTGACAGAGTAGTTAAAGAATGGAAACAAACTATAAATAATGGAATTCACTCAACAGAAAATAGAGTAATTCAAACAATACTGTATGCAGATTATCAGGTACTAATAACAAAGTCTGAAGATGAACTACAATTTGCAGCAAACCAGCTAAACAAAATTGCATGCAAATATGATATGAAAATTTCCACTTTAAAATCTAAAACAATGGGAATGTGTAGAAGAAATATATGAGTGAAAATGGAAAGGAAGTAATAGAGCAAGTTTCTGATTTTATATACTTGGGAAGTACATTTTCAGACCACAAAAAGATATAGATAGCAGATTACAGAAATTTAATAAGATGAATGGTGTTATTAGAAGACATTTTGGCAAACAAATTACAGTTGATATGAAATTGTGTTTACACAATATTACCTCAAAATCAGATTTTAAACGGAAGAGATACTCAAAACGTTTAGGCAACACAGATGCACTTTTTGAGACCACTATTAGGTTTTACCAGGCTGGACCATCAGAGGAATGCTGATTTTAGAGAAAAACTTCAGATAGTTGAAGAAATACAAAAATGTGAACAAAATTGGAAAGACAATTTGCAATGCACGGACAGAAATCAGCTTGCACAGTTGGCATTCCATTACCAACCACGATGACCTAGAGACCTGGGATGATGAAGCTTTGATGGAAGGACCAAGAACTTCTATCTTGGGTTTCATAGGAACAAGCCATATGGTCTAAACCCTATATACAGTTCATGATGATGATGATGAAGTCTGGATTTTTGTTTCTGGAAAGGCTTACTAACAAATAAAAAAGAGAAGAGTGTGCTTTCAGGCTTAAATCTTTTAAAGAACACTCTACTGACATGTATTGTGGAAATGCATCTAAAAATCACAAACTGAAATTTGTAGTGATTGCAGAAGCCAAAGAACTGTGATTGTTCGAGGATACCAAAGCAAATTTCATTCCTGTCCATTATGAGAACCAGCCAGGCGCATAGATGGATAGTGAAGTTGTTGAAATTGGGTTCTACGAGCATTTAGCTTCAGGAGTTTAGGATTCCCTGAAAGAGGATTACCACAGAAAACAGAGTTGATGCTATACAGTGCCCCTTATCATCTGAGAAAGAATGTACAGACTTGTGATGATAGCCTTATTGCTGTAAAGTTTTTGTCTATGAACCAAGGAGTTACAACATTTGCGAAAGATCATGATTTGAAAGGTTTTCCTAACAAAGGAATAAGCAAATCTGAAATTTTTTAAGTGATATGTGCTGTGAGAAACTTAAAAAAATGTTGACTAAGATAATGGAGAGTGGCTCAAGGTAATGCTTATGAACTGCACTTCCAGCACATGTTAGACAGAAAATGTCAATGCTGCAACAAAAGTGAGAAGAGTATGGGGAGAATGAGGGTGAAAAAGGTGGGGAGAGTAGCGATCATGGCAGTCAGATCATGGTGCTACAGTATATTGACACTACTACACTGTGGGTCAGAGTGTGTTTGAATACATGACATTACATGGAAATTTGTACTGCCATGAGGAGGAGTCTAAGCATTTTACAAAAACCAGTGACCTTTATGTAAAAATATTTTGTCTTTAAACAGGCCTGTCTGCTGAAATAAAAACTTGCATGAACATACTGCACACATGTTCATGATTTCTTTTTCAGTCTGTGGCAGACATCTTTCATACAGCATTACTTGAGATTGAAAAAGCAAATGGTGATGTCCAAGAGAAAAGCAATTGTGTCATTTCATGAGCAGAAACACACAACCTGCTGGCTAGGATGTAAGCATGAGCAAGCTACACTTCCACATAAATTAATCAGATGGCAGTATAAGAAATAATAGTGGGGTCATTTTATGTGATTTGTTACAGAAGTATGCCCGAAATTGATGCCCCTAACTGTATCCATTTAGTCTTATGTACATAAGTGAATCTAGAAGTATCTGGCATTTGTCATTAACTACATCATAGCATCAAAAATATGATTTCTCAAAGTAGACAATCTGCTTTTTGCATTAGGTAAAGCTGCTTTGCACACCTAAGGGAATGCTGTTTTATAAAACAGAAACTATTAACACCAAATAGGAATGTGTTTTTCAAAGCTTTTGAGAGATTAAGCTAATATGAAAAGTATTTACATATATGAATTGGTACAGAATATGCAAAACAAAAATTTTAAATTGTTATTATCTCATGATTTTTATGTATTCATTGACTCTTTCTGGATACTTATTTTCACACTGTAAGCTTATTCATTTATATAATTTGGAAGCTGTTTAAGCTTAATTTACATTAGTTACAAGTAAATAGTAAAGTATCTGTACCTGTGAGGATGGGTTTAGAACAGAAATGACTGATATACACCTTAATAATTGTATCATACTGAAGTATTATTTATCCTATATAACACACTTCATAATTTTTTGGGGGAAGAAACAGTTGGAAAGAATACATAATAAGGAAAATAGGCTTATATTAACAGTGATTACCATATTATGAGTTTGTATTTTAAATATGTTTATGGTTATTGTATATAATCCTGTATGTAAAGTGGTAGCGTTTATTTTGAAATTAGTTTGATTTCAAAATACCTGGCTTTGTGAATATGTATGTATGAATGGGATTGAAAATTGTAATACAGCATAATCTTTCTTTTCTAGTGATTTGGTTTATTTTTAGCATTCAAATACACAACATTGTTAGCACTAGATGTAACCATAGTGCCGCATGGGGAAGTATATTTTGCATATATATAGTACAGAAATGTGGTTCTGCTAGCATGTCTACAGCTTACTTCTACTTGTGAGCACAGATTGTGTTGTACAATAAAGAATATAAACCAATAAGAGACCAACAATGTGTATAGAGGTACCCATTTCCAGCTCAGGTGAGAAAATACTAAATGTCTTGATCTAGGTTAGCAATAATTCATACTTTAAAAACATGATTTTGGATTTTTGCCTGGTGAAAACAGACTATGTCAAAAGTCTCCAAATTGGTTTCTTTAGACCCTCCAGAATAATAAACAAGAAGAAACACATAAGAAGTAACAAAATCACTTTAAACATGTACTGTGCAAAGGAGTAACTTGCAAATAAGGAGAAAAATTCCTGCTTGTAACTTTATGACCAGGCTGGGCTCTGGGGATGGACAGGCAGACAAAGGGTCGGGTAGTGACCGGGTCAGGCTTAGACCCGATATGTCAGACCAGCAGAGAAACGGTCAGGCAGACATGGTCCAGCAGATACAGTGATGGGAGAATTTTGAAAAATATTTTGAAGTTTTTCAAAACTTTCGAAAAATTAAAAAATCTCGGAAATTTTTAATTAGCGTTTTTATGACATTTCCGAACATTTTGAAATTTGTGAAAATTTTCTAAATTTCGAAAATTCTTCGGATTTTGAAAGCCGATCCACCAGTCACCCACACCGGCAGAAGCTGTGTTCGACAGAGAACGCGACCGGTAAGACTGGGCCGGGAAAAAACTGGGTGGTGTAGATACTTATTCGATCTCTGCCTGACGTGGTGTCTGCCACACCTTCGCTTTTCAGAGGCTGCAAGTCAGAGGCCTTGTGAGGCAACGAACACGTTCGTCAGAGATAGTACACAAGAGACAGTCCGACAGAGACCGGTCCTTCAAGGCATCAGGTGGGGAGAATTCTGAAAGATATTTTGAAAAATCCGAAAATTTTCGAAAAATCAGAAAATGCTGGAAATGGTCTGAAATCGCACAAAACCGAAATTTGTTTAAAATTTTCACATTCAATTTTTTTTTGAATTTTTAAAAAATGTTGGGTTTTGTGCGCGTTTCACACAATTTCCAGAGTTTTTATTTTTCGCAAATTTTGAAAATTTT